AGAATGAAAACGTAGGAAAGAGAATGAGGGTAAATGAGTATATTTATTGAAAAAACTTACAAAAGTGGAAAGGAAGACAACTAATAGAGAACATCCCAAAATGAAAAGAGGGCCAAATATTAGAGAACGGAGAGAGTGTTTTTTTTTATATTCACTGTTATATTTTTTACTCTAGATAGAAGTAGCTAGTTATTAATTAATGCGAAACTTTGAAAAACTACGTATGGTAGTATGACCTATGGCAATATACTGTCATGTTTAAATTTTGGAAATACTAAAACATAACAATATATTTTTACCAGAAAAAATATAATAATCCTATTTTGAAACTTCAAAACCCTAACATTTGTGTTAGGGTTTGATTCTTAAACAATAGTCTAAACAATTTTGCCGTTTATTTGATTCTTAAAAAACAGTCTAAAGAATATGAGATTAAATTACTCATATTTGGAGGGAGGGGGGGGGGGGGGGGGGGGGGCGTAGCTCCTATGTCACACACCCGGGTGTACCTGTACACTCGATTTTTTTTGCAATTAATAGCAATTTTTGAAGATAATTAATAAGTTGAGGTGTTGAATTGCTTCCTTTTTCCACCAGGCACTCACGTTCATCCTTACTTCCTACGTTCTCCATTCTTTCTTTTCTTTTGTTTCTTTTTTTTTTTTGCATTCTTCCGTTTTTTCTTCTCGTTTTTTCTTTAGTCTCTTTGATTTTGATTTTTTCTTTTTCCTTTTCTTTTGATTTTCAAGTTTAATTTTTCTAACTTCAACTTTTTTTCTTTTTTTTCTTCCTTTTTTCATTTTTCTTTTTATATAGACTTTATGTCTTCTGTTCCTCTAATTTTGAACTCCTACTTAATAAAATTGGTTGGTCTAAAATAAGGAATGAATTCTTTTTTATAATCTACAGGTATGAGTTTACTCCATACACAAATTGATATTTAAGCATACTCGAGATTTTAAATGAGTTTTTTAAATTTTCGATGCTCATTTCGTAAATTATCTATGCTCATTTGATATTGGTGTAATGCTCATTTTAAAATGAGCATTACACTAGATAACTTAAATGTCATATCCATGCATATTGGTGTAATGCTCATTTTGAACTTTTTGTTACTCATTTCAGACGTTATATATTCACATTTAATGTTTGAGCATACTAGATATCTTAAATCATCTTTTTGAATTTTATGGTGCTCATTTCGTAAGTAAGTATACTCATTGGATATTGGTGTAATGCTCATTATAAGTATAAAAGCGGAATTAATTCCACTTTAGGTCCTCCGAGTTTTGTGTCATTTCCATATTTAGTCCTCGTCTTTCACTTTATCCATTTTTGGTACCTTACTATTGTTTTCTTGACCATTTGTGGTCCATTTCTGAGCATTTTTACTATCGGAAAAGGACTATATATGGTCAAGAAAACAATAGTCAGGTACCAAAAATGGATAAAATGAAAGACGAGGACTAATTGTGGAATTGGTGCAAAACTCGAAGGACCATAAGTGGAATTTCTTCTATAAAAGAGTAAGGAAAAGAACATAATAAGGCCCACAAAAAGGCCCAGTTATGAAAGACAGTCCATCTAATTAAAACAACCTAATTTTTTAGGTGGCATTTCTTTAATTTAAGTGAAAAATCACGGCTCCCGCTAAATGAGCAATAGTGTACTTTTAGTGAACATATGACCTATTGTGTTGAGTATTATGAAGCTAACATAAGTAAAAATGAGCATAACATCAGTACCAAATGAGCATACATAACCTACAAAGTGCACATTGATATGAAAAACGTAAGGTTTGTTGATTGAACGTCACGACATTTTAATTGAGCATCAAACCTCCGCTATTTAGATGAAAATAACGGTTTCTGGTGAGTGAGCATTAATGACCTTTTAATGAGCATCATGCCTATTATATATGTTGAGTATTACGAGTCTAATATTCAAAATCGTGATCTCTGTTTCATAACTTCTAATTCATTTCCTTTTTGTTATTTTCCCTTTTATAAAAGCTTTTTAAATTATATTTATAATCAAGTCCTATGAAATTTTCATTCATTTGTGTAACAATGAGAAATATAATGAATTCTAGATTCAAAACAGTTTATAATTTGTCATTCTTGAATTACAAAATTAATCATAATATTTTTATAATGTTTACTCATGCACATTTTTTTTACACTATGCTCAATTCAGTATAACACAAAACTCATGTTAATAATGAGCACACAATGTTAAAATAATTAACACACACAAACTATTAAATTAACAAATATTTATCTCCAAATTAAAATAGGAAAAAAATTGTTACCTAAAAGATTTTTATAATGCACAATTTAAAGAAATACTTAAGTAGTTATAAAGGAAGGTTAATTAGAAAAAGAAAAAGAAAAGCAAACCGGGACGTTAAGTTCCACATTCTATATTGCACATATTTATAAATTAAAACTAATGGAAAAAAATTGTTAAGAAAAAAAAGAATACCCAAGGAAGAAACGTAGATTCAAAAAGAATGTAGGAGAAAAGTTTATTAAAGAAAGCAGGCATGCACGCACCACACACGGAAGATTAATAGGCGGCGAAGACTATTGTCATTCATATTAGATATAATTACAAAAATAGGTGGGTGTACATATACACCCGTGTGTACAATATAACTTACGGGGGGGACTTTTACATTATTTATCTTTTCATTTCCGATTTTTATCTAATATATATTAATCCACTAAATATAAATTGAGATAATTTCTGAAAATAATTTAAATACCCCGAAATTTTGAGATATGTAAGATAAGCACCCAAACTTGCATAACTAATATAAGTACCCCAAACTTTATATAAAAAGTTATTTCAACATTATGATCATATGTTATTTCTTTCGCAAATGCGAATTTATTGTTTTAAGTAAAGAATATAAATATTCTAATCATTTTGTAGTGCACAATTAACATTATAAACTAATTTGTTAATGTTATTTATTTAAAATATTGAAGCTTAGATAATAATTTCATCCTTATAAATTCCCAAAGTATTTTTAATTTTATATTTTAACACTATAATGGTGGTAAGATAATTTATTATAAACTTTGGAGTATTTTTATTATGTGTGCAAATTTGGGGTGCTCACTTCACACCCCTTAAAAGTTTGGGGTATTTAAATTATTTCCCCCTCCCTCTCCCCCCAAATTAAATATGCACATTTGCTCATGATTTAATAAATTAAGGGTATGTTTGAGAGTTTTGATGGAAGAGATCAAGGAGAAGGCTTTGAAAATATGTTGTTCGAGGAGAAACGAGGGAAAGGTGAGAAAACAATTCTTCGTATTTGGAAGTAATAAATTTGCAAGATCGATAGTCTTTAATTATTTGGAAGAATTATAATTAAAATCGCTTTGAGATATGACAAATTCAAATATTTGAATCGATATTCATTTTTAATAGAGCTTAAATCATCATTTCATTAATTATCTTTCAAAACCCTTGAAACTGATGAAGCTTAAAAATTGATCATTTGGAATGTTTTTATTTGGATTGTTTTGAGTCTCAGACAAGACCATATCAGAGTTAAACAAACCAGACCAAACCAGATTTAAACAAATCAAACTCGACTTAACCAGACCAGACCAACAAATTACAATCATTCTCTTGTCTCGGATTTCCAAATCCCAAGCCCAAGAGTATTAAGTACTTTTATAATTGGAGTTAAACAATGTAAATTACTACGTAATTGAGTACGTGAACAAATAGAGATAGGGGGTTTGGTCTCCAGGTTTTTATTTTTTAAATATAGTACTTCGTACAAAATAATTGTATAAAAGTTTTTTGCACGCCCCTCTCGGTGTTTTCTTGCTCACAAATTAGCGCTTTTATTTACTTTTTCTTTTGCTTTTAAAATTTACTATATAATTATTAAATCATTATCTATGAATTAATATTATAAAATATCACTAAAGTAAAGTGATATTAGCTGTGATTGTAAGTATATTTTAATTTGTTTGATAACCCTTATTTTTAACTTATGAACCAATTTTTTTTAGTATTATACAAAGTAACTTGTAGTTATATATTTTTTTAAAGATGACGGTAAAATAGATAAAGTGCACAAATGAGCTAAGGATCATTGATGTTTTCTTCCGAAATAGAGATCATTGACTCATAATTGGGGGAACTTTATACTTTTAAAGTATTAATAGAATCAAATAAGTCTAATTTTGAGGATAAAACATAGTTACTTAGTTCTATCCGTACACTATCTATATTTTAATTAGAGTAATTCTTTTAAGTTACTGTAGATGGTCACTTTTGTTTTTTCATAATCTTTTGCTTGATTCTATTATTAGATACTAGTATATTTTAATTTTTCTCCAATTAAACGACAACCACTTCAATCGCTTCAATTAGAATTTCGTAAACTTAATCAGATTGAACTGATTTAGCCAATTCTAAGGTTACTAATCGAGTTTATAGTTTTAAACTAATAATACGAAGTATTAAATATTTCTAAGTACTTCATGTGTCACCAATCTATGCCACATTTTACCTTTTTACCATCCAACTAAATTTGTCTCGATGATACGATATTTAGTTATATTTGAATGATTGTCATACGAATTTACTTCATTCAAATTTTAATAATTTAATATTCTATATCAATCATACAATTTCACATTGTAAATAATCATCACTTGGTCATAATTTTATAGGAATTTATAATTTCAAGCCGGGAATATATTTTGGGGAAATAACGTGGAAATTAGAGGAAATTAGCTTTGACGTTTGTTAGAAATTCATCTTCAATATTTCCAACCGGAGCGAGTAAAATTATGAGTGAAAGACCATTACTTCCTGGTTTTTACCTAGCACTCCGTTGTATACACGTTATTGAGAGTCGAGACTATTGAACAAGTCCGGCTCACGTTTAAACCCGACCCGTTTACACGAACCCGTGGAATAAACCCCCCTCCCCTGCCTCGACTATAAATGCAACTCAGTGCGGACATATTTCTTTATCTTCAAGTCTGATACAGTTCCACCGAGCAGTAGGCCCGCCCGCCGGTTGAATATTTAGATTTTAAGCGACTTACCATTTTCCCATCTCCACGTCGACGGCAGGTGAATCGGAGCTTCTGGAACCTATTCACGCAAGTCGCCGCCGGCATCGATCATAATGCGCATTAGATTAGGTTGGTGTATCCCGAGGTGTTTGAAGGCGGAGAAGGAAGCGGATGACAATCCGAAGCAGGAGGTGGAGGCGACGAAAGTCGCTGAGAAACAGAGTTCGTTTAAGTTTCATTTCCAGAGGGTTTCGTTTTCGGATTTGAGCTCTTCCACGCTTTCGGAGGACCTCTCCATCTCCCTTGCCGGTTCGAATCTCCACATTTTCACGGTTCAAGAGCTCCGCCTCATCACGCACAACTTTTCGTCCAGTAATTTCCTCGGCCAGGGCGGATTCGGCCAGGTCCACAAGGGCTTCGTTGACGATAAGATCCGACCCGGATTGAGTGCTCAACCGGTTGCCGTTAAGCGCCTGGATATTGATAACGGCACTCAAGGCCACCGAGAATGGCTGGTGAGATCTCTACACCTCACTTTTCAAATATATGCATATACTCCGTAGTACTTAAAGATAATTATTAGTCGGTTCAGATATAGTAATTTCTACTTGAGACAAAATCAATTCCATTGGAGCTAATGATTGTTCATAATTTGATTTGAATTTTTAGACGGAAGTGATTTGTCTTGGGCAATTGAGGCATCCGCATCTGGTGAAGCTGATCGGGTATTGTTGCGAAGAGGATCAGCGGCTTTTAGTCTATGAATACATGCCCAGAGGCAGCTTGGAGAATCATCTCTTTAGAAGTATGCTTGCTTTAAACTCCATCATTTTCTCTTAACCATGCTCTCACACTGATTATGATCGCTTTGATTCTATATTCATGTTATTTATTTATTTATTTATTATTAATTTATTTATGTATTTCCTACATAACAGTATATAATTTTTTTGAAGTTAATAATATTTAAGAGATTACATTTTTATAAACAATATTTATTTTAGTCTGAAAAATGTAATTATTTCATAAGCATATCGAACATCATGACCGTTTTTTAGGGGTTCAATAGGTAATCCGTTACAGGGCCCCGAATTTATGGGGCACCAAATTTTTAAAAATTTATTAATACTATATAGTAATATTATACGGAGTATATTAATACTAATCAGTAAAATATAGTTACCTAAGCTAGTAAGGAAGAAAAATATAGATTCATCATTTTTTCGTTGGTCATTTTACTCTTTTAGTTCTTTTTAATCAGTAATCAATTGATTTGAGTATAAGTATTTAAATTGAGATTTTTTTTAATATTTTATAAAAATGTGGGGCCGGATTTTACATTTTGAACCGGGGCCTTCAAATTCATTAGACGGCCCACGGCCCTGTCGAACATTCATTTATATAAGTTACTTCTCAATTGAATTTTAAACTTAAATTTCATAGGAATGATCTACACTTCATCAAGAATATGTTCACAAATTTTTATCAAAAAATTCCATCCTATGAGTTAGAACATATGAGCTAAGTTCTATTTTCACACTTAATTGATCATGACAATATGCTAACGTCTAATAATAATTTTCTTAATATGTATACAAATAATTTTTTTTTTTAATAATATTTCTGAAAAAAAAATAGTAGTAATACACACCAACAATTAAAAAACAAAAGACGTTACTAATTCAACCATCACCTCAACTAACATATAAATCCCTAATAGGGTGTAGGTAGCTGTAACCAACTTGGAAGTTTAGCTCAATTTGTCCATATTTAATCAATTAATTACATAATAGGGAATCTTTTTAATTATTTTACTCCGTATTTTTTATCGAAAAGTCAAGGGTCCATTATTCTTTTCTGACCTCAAACACGGAGTACGACTTTCTACATTATTGATTTTTCCACTTTTTTTGTGCAATCTGCATTATTAGATTTTAGAATAACTTTAATATTGACATTTCTTGGATACACAGGATTTTCCGCGTCGCTTCCATGGTCTGCCCGAATGAAGATCGCAATGGGAGCAGCAAAGGGTCTTGCTTTCCTGCACGGGGCAGCAAAACCTATCATATATCGGGATTTTAAGGCTTCAAATATTTTGCTTGACTCTGTAAGTGGCAATATTTTTGAAAATTCCAATCTATAGAAATTAATCCGCAGTCAGTACCACTCGGCCGGCAGCTGTATATCTAAAGATGTGTTTTTATTGTATTGATTTCAATATCAACCGGACCAGATCATATCAAATCGGTTTTCCTCAATAGTATATACGGAGTAATACACATAAAATAGACATTTACCATGTCAATTCAGATCATACCAGATCAAACTTAAACAAACAATGTAATTAAAAGAGATTGGTATGGTTGTAAACGCATAAAAAAAGTAGGATGTGCTATAAAAAAGTGTAAAATGATAAACATTGAAACAAATTAAAAAGTTCTTAAAACTTGAAATTGCGCAAATACGGAGTAATAAAGAACTTTCTTAAAAGGAATACAAAACAAATATAAAATCACTCGGGGAGTATCATTTCAGCCTGGTTTGATACTACAATAATCCAAATGAACAAGTCTTACCTCTTTTGGGTTGGGTTAGGCTCAGCAATATTATCAACACTTGCTACAATCCAACCCTTCAATAGCTAATCAATTTTCGTTACATTTTGCGCGCAGGACTACAGTGCCAAGCTGTCCGATTTTGGATTAGCGAAGGACGGACCGGAAGGGGACGACACACACGTCACCACACGAGTGATGGGCACGCATGGGTACGCAGCCCCAGAATACATAATGACGGGGCATTTGACCGCCGCCAGTGACGTGTACAGTTTCGGTGTAGTGCTGTTGGAAATTTTGACTGGTCGAAAGTCAATAGACAAGAGCAGGCCATCGAGAGAACAGAACTTAGTGGATTGGGCAAGGTTTCATTTGAAAGATTCACGGAAGCTTCGCCGTATATTGGACCCCAGGCTTGAAGGAATGTATTGTGAAGATGGGGCACATAAAGCGGCTGCTCTGGCATATCAATGCCTAAGCGAGCGGCCAAGGCATAGGCCAACAATGAGTGAAGTGGTTCAGGTTTTGGAACCTTTGAAGGATTACAAGGATGTTTCAAATGTAACATTTGTATATGTAGCTCCTTCAACTGAGAAAGAACCACCGAAACTGAGTAAAAAAGAAGTGACTGAGCAAAAGCAGGTGGAAAAAGGAGACAGTGAGCAAAAGCATAGCACCAGAAGTGCCAAGTCTAGAACAATTCACTCAGAAGCTGATCTAGTGAAGAGAGCTTAAATTGAAATTACTGTTAGAACCAAAATGTATATAGAAACTTGTCTATAATTGCTTCATTTTTTGTTTGCTCTAGCGATAGGTTCAACCCGGATATATAGTACACAAGAAAGCCTTGGAGCAAAAGTGCCAATAACATGTTGTTTCATGCTTTTTTATAGTTCATGATTTGTTCTTTTTATCTTTTTCACTTCAATTAGGGGAAAATACAAAGTGATGTATTCAATTTGGCTAATATGATATAGTATCTCTGTATATGAAGTGTTTATGACATTTAATTTGGCTAATTACCTTCATGCTCTACCTCGGCCATGCATGGCTGCATGCTAATAGACTCAAGTCACTCAACCTTTGACGCCCTTAATTTCCATCGACGTTGAAAGCATCGTTATTGACATCAACCTAGCTAGATCACATTCTCAAACTCAACTCTCAATTTTATTTTACAGAAGCTCCAATCTCCATCACTTTGGAAGAAACAACCTTGAAGGCCACGTGGATGGTACATTCCGATCCTTTGCTAATTTACCCTTTAAAAAAGTATACAACTGCCAGTCTGCCATAGTTACAATCTATCCCTTATAGTAATATGATGTAGTGATGTACATATCTTAGATATTGTCAATTTACTGAATATGTCTCATGAAACTTTATCCTTTTACCGAACGTGTAAAATAATAAAGTGAAAGTTCGTTATAATATAATTAGTGTATAGTATAGAGAAATAATATCGGCTACATATTAATTACTTTAAAAGTAATACTTCGTACTACGTATAATTTCTCTAATAAAAAAAGTTAATTAAAGTTCGGTTGACCAATAAAGTTGACTGACTAGATTTTAGACAAGCTAGGTTCACTATAAATAATGCTAGTAATTGAATGGAGGATTCTTATAAATCATTCATATATTGTCCGAGATCAACGACAACTTGGTTTGAGAATTGAAATCAACGACAACTTGGTTTTATAAAACTTACTAATGAGACGAATTAAACAATATTTTTCAAAAAAAATAATTCACATACATTGATAAATAAAATGTAGTCAAAGTAAAGTACATGAATAGTGTACATACTCCAATGTTGCAACTAATGCGATACGGAGGATAGTACATATAAAGTTAACATGTAAGATTTCACGCCTTCCATAACGGAGGATAGTACATATAAAGTTAACATGTAAGATTTCACGCCTTCAGGGGCGGACCCAGGAAATTCACATTGGGGGGCGGTAATTTAAAGAAAAAAAATCTATTTGCTCATTATTATAAGTTATAACCTTTATACAATAGTAATAAAATGAAGCATTAAAATAGTACACAATAGGCAAAAAATAGAAGAAGAGACAAATATATTATTACAAAATAGTAAAGTTAATACCTTAGAATTGTGCTCGACGCTCCTTCAACGAGATAAATTCCTCAATCACGGCTTTTGAGTCAAAAGTTTTAGCAATTTCTCTTTCAATATAAACAACAAGGTTGTCTGCAAGATACTAATCCTCCATTTTATTGCGAAGCCTTGTTTTTATAATTTTCATTGCTGAAAAAGTCCATTCTGTTGTTGCTGTCAATACTGGTAAAGTCAACAAAAGTCGGATCAATCTATCAATAAGAAAGTAAACTTTTGACATCTCTGTCTCCGCTAATCCTTGACAAAGTTCAGCCATTGTGGACAAATTCGCCAACTTTGGATGGTTTAGAACATTGAGCTTATAATGTTGCAATTGAAACCTCAAGCCCACCTTCTCCTGCTCAATAAAATCAAAGGGGTAGTATTTATCCACTAAAGAACAGATATCATCAACGTTAAAGGACTTATATGAGTCCTTAGGATCCAAAGCACAACTAAGAGTAAGAAGATCCATTATCTGTTCATTGAATCTACTATTCAGCTCTAACAATTGTGAATCTATGACTGCGTAAAACATATCAACCCGATAGTGACGTTCAATATCAAACCCTTCTTGATCATGGCGTTTGCGTTTTACCACATAAGGAGACTTCATATTAGGAACTTCAATCTCATGCTTTTGGCAAAACACTAACAATTTCTAAGAAGTTATCCCATCCACCTTCCCTTAACTTTTGGATCAACATTTTGGTGCTTGACACCAAATGCATAGCATTTATTTCGTCTTGGGACTTCTTTTGTAGATGCTGACATAGAAGATCTGTAATACTCATAATTTCTTTAATAAGATGCAACAAGAAAACAAAATCAAAAGATTTAATCTTCTTAAGTGCTCCAGCTGCATCTCCACGAGTAGAATAGTTATTGTCATTCTCTTCAACATCTTCTAAAACAGAACAAGTTGCAGCAAACATCCTAATCAAACTGCAAACAGAACTGAAATGCGAGCTCCATCGAGTTTCCCCAGCTCGTTGTAACGTACCAACCTGATTAAGTCCTATGCCTGTTTCAAGCTCACCAATTTCCAACATTCTTGCAATTTCAAGTGCTTGAGCTTCCTTTAATTCATCATTTCGTTTGCAAGAAGAACTAGTCACATTAATAATAAAGACTAAATCGGTGAAAAAATTATGCACATATTTCACCTCTCTAGAAGCAGCAACCAATGCTAATTGCAACCGATGTGCTAAGCAATGAACATAGTATGTATAAGGACAATCATTTAAAAATAATGCTTTCAACCCATTCCACTCTCCCCGCATATTGCTAGCACCATCGTATCCCTGACCACGAATGTTCTGTACATCAAGACAAAATCTAGAAAGAACTGCACAAATTTCTTTTTTGAGTCATTGCTGCGGTATCTCTAACATGCACAACATCAAAGAAATGCTCTCTAATGAACCCCTTTTCATCAACAAATCTCAAAATAATAGCCATTTGCTCTCTCTTAGATTCATCACGTGCCTCGTCAACAATAATGCAAAACTTAGAATCACCAATATCATGTCGAATCCTATGTCGCACTTTAGTAGCAAGAATGTGTAAGATCTCTTTTTGAATTTTGGGAGAAGTATACATAGCATTTTTTGGCGCATTATCTAAGACAACACTAGCAACTTGTTCATTATATGATGCTAAAAGTGAAATCATTTCAAGAAAATTACCTCGATTTCTAGAACTAGAGGATTCAACATGACCTCGTAGAGCACATCCTTGTGAAGCCAACCACCGAACAACATCAATAGAGGTCATAACCCGTAAGCGGTTACCTTCCTTCATCTCTAGAGTTTGTGCTTCAATGACTTTGTCAATATGGAGAGATTGATTCAATAAGTCTTGACAACTTTTCCAACAATTATTGTGTGGAGAACATGGATCTTGGCCCACATGATTCAGGAAAGCACATCTAGCCCCGTTATTAACTTTTTTCCAACTATTAAAACCTTTAATAGTGAAAGCATCGGTTCCATGACGAGTTATAGGTTTTGCAAAAAGGTAGCACGGAAAGCAATATGCTGCATCTGTTGTGGGGGAATACTCCAACCAATGAAACTTTTGAAACCAAGAAAACTGAAATCTTCGAGGACGCTTCTCATCAGATAGGGGATACTTTGCAGAATGTATTTGATATGGCCCCATCTCCAAATATGCTCGAATAACTTCATCTCTTTGATTAAAAGGATATTCCCATATCTGAGGGCGTTTTACGGGATCACGTTCTAGATTCTTGATATCAAATGAAAGACTAGAACAACCCAAATATTTGGAAGTATTCAAAACTTCCACATTTGCAGTTTCTGCATTGACCGGATTACTTGGACTACAACTCAAATCAACAATTTTTCTCTTAAAATGAGAGTCAATGCTTGTCTGCTTCTTCATCTGGACGGGAGATGGAGGAAGTGGAACAAGGCGTCAGGCGTGGCTGGTGGGCAGTGGGCGGGGCTCGGCCTCCTTTCTTCTTTTTTTTATCCGAATCGGCGGAAGTGCGGAACAAATTTTGGGGAAAGCTGTTCAGTTTGCGCAGGTTTTTTGGGATGGGCTGGGGAAAGCTCTTTTGGGGTGGGCTGGGAATAAATTTTGGGATGGGTTGGGAATAAATTTTTGGGCGGGCTGATATAATATTATTTCTACAATTTCTATTTTTTAGGCTATTAAAAAATTGGATTTCTGTGAGTGAGCTATGATTTGGGGGTGAAATCTTTTTTGGGGGGGTTCAATTTTTTTTTGGAGGGGTGAGAATTATTTGTTGAGGGGGGTAAAATTATTTTTCGTATATATATATACTAATTTTTTTTGGGGGGCGACCGCCTCCATGGGTCTCTACTACGGTCCGCCCCTGCAAGCCTTCCATAATACTCAGATCCTATTTCTTTAATACGTACAGTAGTATATATATTTCTCCACCTTTTTCAACAATGTTAGAACTAATCCATACTCCCGATCGGATTACGTATCGCTCTTTAGGTCGATATACTTGATAACGTATTTAATGCTATGCTTGTAGTGTGTAGTGTGTATTAAATATTTGTTTATTAACGATATGATCGATACTTTGGATATACTTCAGCCATCATCCATTTGTAATACACTATATTATAGAAGTAGCTTTTTAGGATAAAAGTAGTATAATAAAATACTACGTATCGATCAAAGGCTCCACGATAAATAAACATATAACACCCGTAAAAGAATGTATTGACTCGCTAACCACCAAGCGGACAAATATAAGTCTTTAATGAACGCATTAGGACCACAACCGATCAATGCATCACCCACATGTCTCCAACTAGCACTACAAAAAAATACGTGATTGACAGAGTTTTTTGGCAAGGATTATTCAATATTATCAGAGATTTGGCAGGGATGTGCCAAATTTGTGCCAAAAAGAGTTTGGCTATGTTTACCACAAAGAAAAATAGCGAGATGAACCAACCAAAGCCTCCACTAGTAAAGCCAATATAACTACTCATATTAAAAGAAAAAAAAAGAGTACTGCTAAAGAAAACAAAATGTGGGATTAAACTCTTCGAGATACCAAATAGTACTTGTCATCAAATCTCTTAATCTCTTCCTCTCACGGAGGTAGTTTCGAAAAAGGCGACCTGCCACAATATTGATGAAAACCAAATATTTCTTCTTGTTCCATTCTGGATAGTCATGGTGATATGTGAATCAAATACAAATCTTATGCCTCTACCATATTTAAGAACCAGAAAGAGCCAAAATATTGATCTTTTGTAGCATTTTCCAATTCATTGTTCCTAGCCGTCCTTGTAAAATTGCCACACACTTGTAACGATGATCAAAATTCAAAAGCCACACCTTAGCTTTCAGCTGAAAACAAAAGCCACTGCACACTTTGGCGGCAAAAGA